CTCTCTCTCTCTCTCTCTCTCTCTCTCTCTCTCTCTCTCTCTCTCTCTTACCAAATATCTTTCCAGTGGTCACAGCATGTTCTTGTTTCCATTTCTTCTTATTTATAACATAGTCAACAAATAGTGACTGTTTCTTTCTGATGTTTGTGGTAAGTTGTCTTTCTGGGTTGTCTTGCATTTACGTTTTTAATCCGAGAAAGACAATGCCTGTGACATACGTTGCAGCACTCTCTTATGAGGCTGTGTTGGACCCAGTTTTTCCATGTTTTTTGGAGTGTTGAAAGCGCTGGCGTGCTGAAATATACGACACGCGATATCAACGGCACTGCGGAACACCCCCGTGACCTTGTGCCAAGGTGACAGGTTCAGAAACTACCTATCAAAAGTGAGCTAGTGTGTATATGGGCGGTCCGTGGGGAGATCAACGTTAGTTTTACGGAACTGTCTTCTTCTTCTTAAAGTTCATGCCATGTGGCCACTCTTGTTTTAGTCGTGTCCCTCATGGCACATGATTGAAACAGGATTGTTCTCTCGCGGTCTTGTTCTAATCCCCCCCCCCCACCCCGGTTTTATTTTCTCCCTTGCCTCTCACGATTAGCTGGATGCCGTAGCTGTTATTCGGTGACAGCAACAATGTGTGGACATTCGTAGAAAAAAACAAATACCCCACAGTAGTCTTATGTGTGTCAATGGTGTTGTTTAAGAAAACATTTCACAGCAAAGAAAGTTACCAACAGGCTATAATGAGAAATAAGTGACTGCATAATACATGTACACACATGCAGAAATGATGCAACAAATAAAAATGTTAACCGAACGTGAGAAATATTAGTGGCATGCGGCGGAACTACAGCACAGAACCTTTGCAACTCCCGAGAAATCCTCGGTATGCTCACGATAGTTTTATGGTAGACTCGACAAGTTTACACATTACACAGAGCACTTTCACCACCCAGTGGGGGCACTCATTACCCATAGGGAACATTCTCATTACCCAGGCGGAGCACTTTAATTACTATACTCGCCCATTGGGAACACTCGATCACCCTGTGAGAACACTTCCACTGCCCTGTTGGAACACTCATTACCCAGTGGGACCACTCTCATTACCCAGAAAGAGCACTTCCACTAAACATCAGCAAACATTCATCATTGCCCAGAGCGAGCACTCTCATTACCAAGAGATAGGAAGCTCATTACCCAGAGAAAACAAATCTAACACCCGGGTCGCAACACCCTCATCACCAAGAGCGAGCACTCTCATTACCCAGGGCGAGCACTCTCATTACCCAGAGAAAGCAAATCCAACACCCAGTGGCAACACCCTCATTACCAAGAGCCAGCAAGCTCATTACATAGAAAAAGCAAATCCAACACCTAGTGACAACACTCTCATCACCCAGGGCGAGCACTCTCAGAGGGAACATTCCCTACTGTCCAGAAGCAGAACTATATGTTTTCAAACAAGAATACATCTTTTCACAGACTCTTCAACGTGCTTTGTTAATCACAAAAAGCAACAACCAAATAAAGAAATCAATAAAGTCAAATAAACAAATAGCCAATCAGCGAGTGGGACAGACTGACGGACAGACAGATTTAAAATAAAAATTTAAAAAAAAACGATGATTCCGGTGCATATCAGAAACCAAACAGCGTGCTAAAGCAGCAATCGTGTTTCATGCCGTTAGTTGCAGCAATCCCACGGACTTGCATGGATGCAGATAAACTTATGGACTACCTTCGTGGTGCCCCTCAAACTCATCATTACAGTCTAGATCCTCTACATCGACATCTGCATCACTTCCTCCAACTCCGTCCACATCCTCTTCGCTCTCCTTGTCGTCGTTTGTCGTTTCATCTGATGGGCAAATAACCATGGTATTTGAAATGTGACGAACATGCCAGGCGCGTGTTGCCTTTCTCAGAAGAGCAACAAAATAACAAGGGGAACTGAGGTCAGAAAAAGGCAAGACAGGGAGAATTCAGAAAAAAAGGCAAAATGTGAAAGAAGTATGAGAATCGGAAAAAAGATGTAAGGGAGATAATGTTTAGAGAGGGGCAAAGATTCAAAAGTCAGCGGGTAAGCCCGCACGCGTGTGTGTGTATGTATATGTGTGTGTGTGTGTGTGTGTGTGTGTGTGTGTGTGTGTGTGTGTGTGTGTGTGTGTGTGTGTGTGTGTGTGTGTGTGTGTGTGTGTGCCAGCGTCCATGATTAGTTCATACTTCAAATATGTGCGTATGCGGGTGCTAGGGAAAGGGAGGGGGGGGGGGGGTGTTGTCTCCATGGCGCAGTGGTCAAACCATATGGCTGGCGCCCTCACAGTGCGGGGATCGTGGGTTCGTTTTACGGATGCGTCGTTAAGTTCACGGGTGCAACTGTTACAGAAATCACTGAGGGACAGTCGCTGGAGCTACGGAGTTCTGATTTGTGGCAGACTTACAGCAAATGGTCAGTCGGTCTGCGAAGAGAGATCCAGCCATATGGGATATAATCCGGTAAAATAAAGTCCACCCTCTCTACTTTAACGTTTAAATATATGTCCTTGCTTATGTCTCTCTCTCTCTCTCTCTCTCTCTCTCTCTCTCACACACACACACACACACACACATATAGATGCTTGGCTAGCCCACACATTCAGGGTCGCTGGAACCTAGGACCTCAGGCCACCTGACCCACCCCACACCCAATAGTTTTGATGGGGGGGGGGGGGGAGGTGCTTGATCCCTCATAAATTACGTAATGATGTTAGGCAGTCCCTCTGAGCCATGTATAAACATGCTCCTTAAATGTATATAAATGAATAGACGCTTGCTAAAAGTGATCGAGGTTGTATCAATAAAACTCTACTCTCCTATGTTATGTAAACAGAAAGATCAAGTGATCAATTAGAAGTTACTATGGTAATCGTGTGACTGATTTTGAATTTCCGGCGATACAGCAAATCAACAATGTGGCTTATGCATGTTCAACAAGAAAAGGTTTTGTGTTGGGCTTCATTAGACGTTGATTTAACTCGACAGTAATGCACCTAACGAGATACAGCAAAATATGTCAGGCAATAAATTGTGCAATGTATTGTTTGTGTCCGCATTATCGCATTATTTAAATGTATTTGTTTATAGATATTTCATATTGTTCAGATGTATTAATAAACCATTTAGCTTGGTATTATTATTATGCTATTAAAATTATGTGCCTTATTCTGTCTAGAAAATATCGCCATTAAGGGGAAAAAGGAGGGTGGGGGAGGGGGGGGGGGGTTAAATTAGCGATACATACTTCATTACTCTCCTGCAACCTTTCTCGGACATCTCACTCACACACACTCACTCGCACACATACACTCACACATTTAGTCACACACACACACACTGACTCACACATTCACTCATACATACTCACCCACTCGCTCACTCACTCGCTCACACACTCACTCACACATTCACTCATACATACTCACCCACTCGTTCACACACTAGCTCACACACTAACTCACTCACTCACTCGCTCACACACTCGCTCACACACTCACTCATACATACTCACCTACTAGCTCACACACTAGCTCACACACTAGCTTACACACTCGCTCACACACTAGCTTACACACTCGCTCACATACTAGCTCACACACTCGCTCACACAAAGCTCACCTATGTCAGATCGAGGCCGAGGCTGTTTCCGCAACTTGGCGGCATCGTGACGGTAGCGCACAACTCCGGACTCCATGACCTCTTCCAGCAAGTCTGCCCACCGAACTGTGGTGTCCGACTTGGGCCGGTCCGTAGTTGGAGACGGCGATTTAGACTTTCGCAGTTTTACCGTAGTCTGAAACATCAAAAGCAGAGAAGGGATGGTTATTGGAGTTTCATCACACACATCCATATTGGCACCCATGGATGCCGCGAATGTAAGTCAGGGGTGCCGTGGCAATAATCAATAATTTGTCAACATCTGCTTGATATCAGCAAAGACGGCAGTTTAAGACAAAAATACCGTGAATGAAGCCAAGAAGAGTTCTGACTGCAGGTGTATTCAGAAGACACTGCTACTGGCCATGCTACAGTGAGTTCTCAACGTACGCTTACCAAAACAAAACAAACATTAAAAAAAAAAAAAAAACAGATACAAGAGCAAACTTTCTAGGTCAAGTGATTTGAGGATAAAATTATCTAAACGTCTCATATACATGAGAAAAAATATTTTTAAAAATCATTCAAACAGTTTCATTCACAGCATTAAAGACAACTGAACATTACATGTGGATTGTTTCTACCACTTTAAGGGTAGGTGTGCCACAAAAATTGTTTTGCCCGGCTAGGGTGCCGCGGCGAAAAAAGTTTGAGAACTACTGCCTTGAGCAATTAATAAATCACAAATAAACCAACCTAATAAAGCTTTTAAAAGGAGGTTTCGCTGAAAACACGTTCTGTTCCGTTTATTCCATGATTTTACTTTCTCATATAGAATTTTGCCTACCTAATACTCCATGGCAGATTGTTATAGTGATATCATGTTCCAGTTATAGGCAACATTTTATAATAAAACTGTAGACTATCGAGAAGACCCAACAGAACATCAAAGTAAATTTAGGAACACTTAAAATAGATAAAGAAATTAGGGAACAGAACAGTGACAGGTGCAAAATAGATATAACACCACGGAAATAATACAAACTACTGATGAACAAAGGAATTTGCTGTACGTGAATACAGCGATACCACCAAGTCTATGTCGTGAATACAGCGATACCACCAAGTCTATGTCGTGAATACAGCGATACCACCAAGTCTATGTCGTGAATACAGCGATACCACCAAGTCTATGTCGTGAATACAGCGATACCACCAAGTCTATGTCGTGAATACAGCGATACCACCAAGTCTATGTCGTGAATACAGCGATACCACCAAGTCTATGTCGTGAATACAGCGATACCACCAAGTCTATGTCGTGAATACAGCGATACCACCAAGTCTATGTCGTGAATACAGCGATACCACCAAGTCTATGTCGTGAATACAGCGATACCACCAAGTCTATGTCGTGAATACAGCGATACCACCAAGTCTATGTCGTGAATACAGCGATACCACCAAGTCTATGTCGTGAATACAGCGATACCACCAAGTCTATGTCGTGAATACAGCGATACCACCAAGTCTATGTCGTGAATACAGCGATACCACCAAGTCTATGTCGTGAATACAGCGATACCACCAAGTCTATGTCGTGAATACAGCGATACCACCAAGTCTATGTACACTTTTACTACGTTTCTAAGGTGGCATGTGGGAGCCGCGTGGTGTTTGTGGGTAGTGAAACCTACTGCCGAGACAAAGTCTCCAGGTTCGGTTCCTGAAGCTGAAGGACTGTGTCCGACCAGTTTGTGTCTCTAGGATCGATCCAATCTCATCAAAATGTGTCCCGGATATTTCCCAGAATATCATGGGATTTATCTCGAAAAGAAAGATGAGAACGAACGAACAAACTTTATTTTTAAAGGGTTACAAACTGGGCACGCAGGCCCGTCTGACATTCGACCCTTCTAAGCACTCGTTTTTCAGAGTACCAATGCCTGTTACCTAAAATGCATGTTATAGATATAGAATGAAAGTATACATTATAGAATATAATATATACATCATGTGTACACAATCTTACACTCACACACACACACACACACACACACACACACACACACACATATAATATATATATATATATATATATATATATATATATATATATATATATATATATATATATATATATATATATATAGAAGGGAAAAGAGCTGCCCGCTGACTTCATATATCATGGTTTAGAATTATGACCTAATATTTCACATTAACATGGTACTGACGGAACAGATTCGAGCTTTTGAATTGAAAAATTCTCAGAATACCATGGATCAGGAAGAGGAAAAACATCGACATTCTGAGCGAGTTGAACATCAAGGAGAACTGACTTATAAACAGCATCATGTCCCCAAAGTTGAAGTATTTTGGCTACATCAAGCGTCACGCTGGCTTGGAAAAGACAGTGGTGGAAGGTGCAGTTTGTGGAAGGTGAGGCAGGGGTCCATCACCGCGAAGATGGATACAAGACATTGAAGATGCACTGGCATTGAAAGCACATGGGGTCCGAGAGCTGGCGCGGGAAAGGGATACTTTCAGGCGTGCCTTGAAGAGAGCGACGTTCTGAAAAGGACTTGCTGATTGATTACAGACGGAAAAACTTAAATATCACATATTGATTTTATATTGACAAGAAGGAGAGAGAGAGAGAAAGATAGTAAAGTAAAGGACCCCTTCCACGCCTTTCAGACGTACTGGGCTAGACCTATATTTTATAGACCAACGGCACAAGATGGGTGATGGAATCGGCATCATGCCAGCCGCCTTTACTTTCCAGGACTGCACCCGGTACCCAGTCAAGGCTGGGTCAACCTGGCAACCAAGGTTATTTTTGAAAAAAGTCCGGCTCCACCAGGGAGCGAAACCACGACCTTCCGATCCGCAGGCTAGCGTCTAGCTTCTACGCCATGGCCACTAAGAGAGAGATGGAGAATAACAATTCCAGGGTCATCCCAAAGGCACTCATAGATTCAGACCACAGACCAGTGGCACTTTTGCTTCACCGACCAGCTGGAACACACCCCAAGAAACCAGTTTAACAAGTAGAGGTGATAAACATTGTGAAATTAAAAGATAAAGAACTTGCGGAGGAAATAGATCGAGCTGTCAGAAACTCCTTCAAGACCATTACAGAAGCAAAAAACAAAGAAGATAAGTGGCAGACTTTTAAAACCTGCAACCGGAACACAATGAAAGAGAACCGATGCCTCGAAAAGCTTGCCACTCATAGAAAACATACAGAACTGCGAAATGAGGAGGTTAACATTTATATCCACGAAAAGAACAAATGTTTTTATAAGTGGCAGAAGACAAAATCAGATAAAGACTACATTAGCTATAGAAAAGCGAGAAAATACAGCAAAAGGGAAGTGAAAACGGCAAAGTCAGAATCTTCGGCAGACTATGGAGAACAAATATCGAAACTATGCACTGAGTCAGCAAGACAGTTTTACAGAAGTGTCAAAGCAATGAGATCGAGAAGAAATTGATTTCCCTATCTACTACTCTGAAAAGCAAGAGTAAGAAACTACTCACCAGAACTTAAGATATTTCTTTTTAAAGATGGAAAGAATGTTTTAGTGACCTGTTAAACCGTGGAACACTGGATGCACTACCATACCACATACAATTTACAAAAGGCCAAGAACCAAAGATAATGGAATCTGAAGATCAAAATGCAATAAGCAAAGTAAAACAAAGAAAACTGCGGGAATAGAAGATATTACACCAGAAATTCTCCTTGCAGGTAAGACAAAAATAACATTTCGGTTGACAAGAATCTTTAGCATAGGTTGGGATGCAGCGAAGTTTCCAAGTGACTGGCAGACAGCAATCCCTGTCGCCGTTTGGAAGAATAAAGGCGACAAACACAGAGAATGACATGGTTCGGGGTTCGGCCATCTAATGAGAATGCAGCTGGTCGAAACTGCACGTGAGACCTTTTACAGCAGAACATCTGATAGGAAAGCAAGGGGAAGAGCAAGAATGATAAATTGTGTAGCTGAATACTGCGCACGCACGCACGCACGCACACACACATGCACGCACACACATACACACACACAAAGATAAAAAAGCCATAGTGCAAGACAAATACAGAAAACCGGGACACTGGGGTAAAAGTTCCCTTTTCACGCCTATCGGCGCATCGGGCATATGGGCAGAGCGTCCCATATTTTTACAGACCATCAGCACTTGGTGGGTAATGTGGTCAGCATTACGCCGGCTGTCTTTACTTTCCCAGGACAGTCCATCCTGGTACCCATTTTAGGCTGGGTCGACCTGTGACGTCCCATACCACGACAAAAATCCACGCAGCATGCAGTGGGTTTCGATCGCGGTATGCTGGCTCACGAGTCGGACTCGCAACGCCTTAGCCACGGACGCCGCATCATCAGTGAGACAACAGAAGAAAAACATATTTTACACCCAATGGCATTGTAGTTAAAACTCGGTCTAAAAAAACTCTTTTGATTCAATTTTCGGGTTTGTGGGGGGGGGGGGGGGGGAGAGGGGCGTGGGAGAGGGAAGTGGTGTATCGGTTTGGGAAAGAGAGCCTCGAACAGTCGATCGCCTTTCTTTGCAGGAGGAGATTGGAGGCGACACCAGAAATTCAGCTCATGGGCCAGCAGATCATTGAGAACTTCAAGAAATCAGCCCAAAGCACGGTTTAATGGGAGTTTTGAGGTGACCTCGGACAAAGAAGATTCGAAAATAATCACATTATCATCCCCCCCCCCCCCCCCCAATTGTTCATTAGGCATCTCTGATAAAGCTTGGATGTAAGTGACTTGTAGGACAATGAACTCAGCCAGGCGATAACTGTGCCGGGTCTGTGGCAAAGTGTCAGGGCAAAAACGTCACCTAGGGTGCTCACAGTGCTGATGTCGAGGCGTTGGGACCACAGGAATGAACTCACACCTGAGAAACTGCAACATTTTCAGAGGGGGGTGAATTACTCGCGGCGTCAGGGCAGGAAGAGATCTCTTCATATGGCACCATATGCCAGGTACACCACTGGCTCTGACATAGTCATGTACTTCACTGAAGGCCCTCTATCGGCTATCGACCTCTCTGGTGTATGGTGCTGGACCCAAGTTTTTACATGCAAATCAGCATTAGATGGGTGATATGGTCAACATTATATCGGCCACCTTTACTTCCCAGGACATCTCATGCTAACTATTTAGACGGGGGTCAACAAGACAGCCAATACTATTTTATAAACATTTGCAATGATGCAAATTCTAGTGACTCTTGTTCTTCTCTCTATTGATGGAACGCATTGCAGCGTTAGGACAAGAAGATATTTCTGGAATGGGCCCTTCTGTTGCTTCATATACCGTACTTTTCAACGTCTCTGATATTTCTGCGGTTCTTCTTCTGTGTGGTCGACCTATGGATCTGTTAATTCTGTATCTGTTTAATTTCTAGATTTTTATTTTCTGCTAACTCTAAATAAACCACTCTCGGTTTTAGTCGGACTAGTTACAGTGTGTTCAAACTCCTGAGAAGGACATACTTTCAATATTTCAACTGCAGGCCACAATAACACAACTTCCAATCTAGGACGTTCAAAATAGACTTGGGCTAGATGCTGGGCGGAAAAATAAAAATTACACATACGAACAGTTAGACACGTACCTGGATGGATTCGGCACTTGAATTCACATTTCCATCGTTCTGAATACCAGAATCATTACTGTTTCTGGACACCATCTCCACACTTCGGCTTGATGTGGTCAAGGGACTCTCACTGCTGTTGGATGTTTTCTGGGACATATCCTCCTCTTTTGACCTCCTTCTCCTGGCACTCAAGGGGCTGGTGGTTAGTTTTTGATAAACAGGAGGAGACAGCCTATTGCCACCTGTAGGGCTTGCGAGCAGGGTTCGATCCATGTCCATACTCGAGTCAGCTGCATTGGGCGAGAGGGATCTTGGTGTCAGCGTGTCATCTGAGTTGCGGAGATCTGCAGAGTTCATGTCATATTCTGAAAATGAGTCACCTGATGATCGCTCGCCCGAGGTCACAGCGGTACGCTTCCTGAAGCGTCCAGATGGGCCCCTCGAATGATGACCATCAAGCTGGAAGGCAACTGGGGTACAATCGCTGTCGTCCTGACTGAGACTGCAATAGAGGGAACTCTGGGAGCTGCAATTTGACAAGGGAGTCCGCGGTGATCGAGATCTGAACTGGAAATGTGAGAAGGTATCATCAACTTCGGCGGTTTCTAAACCATTTGAATACTGGTCAGGGTCTCCAGTTTCCTGGCTTGCACACCTGTGTAATGAAAGAGAAGGGTCAGCTTGGCTACTGCCTCCACCAACTGGTGGACTGCAGCTTTCATCTGATGATATTTTTCTCACAGACTCGTCTGTAGAGTTCTTTCGTTTAAATATTCCTCGAAATGACATTTTTCTACCTATGGAGTTGTCTCTGTGGTCACGTTTACTTGCTGATTGGCTCTGCTGACTAACGGAGGACACAGAGGCTAATGAAACAGAAGAGGAGGAGAGATCATTCTTCTGTACTAGTTTCGTGGAGACGGACAAGGACTTGTCACTCCCAGAACCTCTGCGCTTCTGCAACATTCGCTGGAAAAAGCCAGGACCTTTTGTGCGAGTTTTGCTGTTCTGAGATTCTTCTACAGCCGGTTTCTGGTGCGAATCGCCAAAACCAGTATCACACATTTCATTCTTTACTGTTTCGTTGCATCTGTCTACAGAACTAGAGGATTCATTCCACACAAGACTGGAGCACCTGGTTTCTGTAAAAGTATGGTGTCTCTTCAAATGTGAGATTCGTCTAACCCCGTGATCTTCTTCTCTCCTTCTGTCCAGCTCTGCTTGACTGATCAGAGACTGCTGCGATTTACTGTAGTACTTCCACAGCCTGGCCTCATCCACGGAGACTGGTCTCTGGCCATGACGTGTGGTCCTCCGCGGAAGAGTCAAGAATACCGGTGCACCTGTCTTAGTCCTCCTGGCGTCCACATAATCCCAAGTGTCCGTCTGCATCCTTTGCGGATCTGTAATTCCTCTCTCCAACAAAGATAAAATCTCTGCGCGAACTTTGCTTTCAATATCCTCCAAGTCTTCACTTTCCTCTTTACTCGAGGAAGCCGATTCACCTGAATGTATACTGGCAGGGGGGTCTGGTTTCTCATTCTCCTCGGACACACCCTCCAGCTTCCCAGTTGTTTCACATGTTGTTTTAACTCCTTTGCTCGCTGAAGTGTCCACCATGACAAAGTGGCCATCTTTGTAGAGGATTTTAACCTCTCCATAGGATAGGCCTCCAGTGGGAAGGCTCAAGCTCCTTCTGGGAGCTTTCCGCTGCTTGGATTGAGGACGTACTGGTGACCTGGAGGCACGAACTCGCTCCTTACAGTCATCTCTTGTTTGCAACAGAGTGGAATCCTGGAGGTCTACGCCAGTCTCCTTGACTGGTGAACTGTCCTGGTTTGACTGGGCCTCTTCTATCTCAGAGATGCCTGCCAGAGTCTGGGGAGAAATGAAACAAAATCGAGATGAGGATCAAGTTGCTCCGTTCACACACATCATAAACATTTAGACAAAAACGGTAGGTAAAGAGGCTAAATGCCATTGTGAGATCTTCGTGGGCTGGAGAAAATAAAGTCAGCTGTAAACTGTAAGGCAGGGGCAGACCAGCATGAAGGTGGGTGCAGATAGTGAGGTCAAACTGTGGCTTTGGTAGCATTGTTAAAGGTCCTGCTAGCTTATGATGTTGCCGATAATTATGACAATGGTGATGAGGACTAGACACTATTTTCCCCGTGTGGGTTCCGGGGCCCCATGGTGGGGAAAACAATAATAGACCCTCTGCCTACCCAAAAGCATATCGTAAGAGTCGACTAATTGGGGAGCTTCCTTTGAAGTCGTAGTGCATCTGCCTGAGAGGCAAGGAACCAACAGCCTGCATTTAGTGAATCAGATCTGTAAAACTGATGCACGCGCAACACTCAGGTTCTGGAGCAGGACTGCAGTTCAGAAGTGGACGAACAACCAGAACTTTCCACCAGAGTGTACAGCTGGTGAACGCGAAGAAGAAGAAGAAGAAGAAGACACTATCTATACAAGAATAAACGTGCCACGACAAATCTCTTCTGATTAAAAAAAAAAAAAAGTTTTCAGAGTGTAAGAAGCAAGAGCTCTCTCAACACACAACTCTATTTCAGATTTTAGAACATTCGGTCGATGCCCCTTATTGTCGACGGTAAATTTATAATATATGACAATAAATCGAGTTTACGGAATACAAAAACACAACTATGTATAATCAATGCCTAACACAAATGGGTCGTGCCTTACTTAGCGCTTTTAATCAAGCAGGTGTCTCGACAATGAAGTTTGGTTTCAACTAATCTGAAACTCTCCGTGTCCTGTCTTTGGCCCTCTCTGAGACTGCTGCTCGTCCACCACTAGATGTTAAGTCTCCCACCTGAATGGTTCAATCAATCAATCAATCAGGTGGCGTCTAGACAATGAAGTTTGGTTTCAACTAATCTAAACTTGTTCAGAGGAGCAGATGGATCACCACAGTCTGGTGAGATTGACGCAGCGGGGAGTACGAGAGGTTCTGGCAGATGCTCGAGGCTCAGATGAAAGACAAGACGGACGTTCAATCATAATGCTATTGGCACCATTAGTATCTGAACTCTTCAGTGGGTGCTGAGAATGGGGGAGAAGCGCTTATGGGAATGCGCCGAGTGCTATGATGTCGGTTCTTGAATCAACTCAACTCAACTAATCTGAAACTCGCCGTTGCTGTCTTTGGCCCTCTCTGAGACCGCTGCTCGTCCACCACTAGATATTGGTCTCCCATCTGTATGGTTCAATCAATCAATCAGGTGGCGTCTCCACAGTGAAGGTAGGCTGCAATGGATCTCCAGCATGCACTATGTCTTGTCGTGGTTGAACACTCTCTCAGAGTGCTATCCGTCCATCTTTTGATGTGACACTCCTACTTGTGCCGTAGGTCTCTGCACGGACAACCATCCGTTGTTGTTTGCTTTTAACTTCTTCCTATTTTGATAAAGAGTGACATGTCTCTTTTTCATTTTCCTGAGCAACTATCTTTTTATTTCCAGTCTCGTCAGAAACTACCTATTTCGCGAAGTGTAAAATATTTTTTTTTAATTTATAAACACTAAAACGCGTGTTACATCAACGCAATTCAAAAGGATGTTTATGTTTATTCGACAGATCAACATCATGGCACACGGGTGTAAGCCAGAAGTGCTCCGTTCTACTTCTAACTCAAGCCTGAGTCTGAAGAATCTCAGCGCAGTGCACGAACTCCGATCCTGAAATACTCTGGGTAGATCCAAATTTTGCCTGGGCAACGCCGTTAGGTTACTATTTTCGATTTCCAACTGCCAAGGGATTTTTAACGTGCGCAACAATACACACGGGCATCCGATCTCACTACCCAGAGACCAGGAGAAATTACTAGAAGTCTACGTGAAGAAATCCCAGCCTTCATTCACCAGGGTTTGAACCTGGGACCTCCAGTACTCGAGGCGGATACCATACCTCGAGACCAAGCAGCTCCTTTAATTGAAAATGATGGTGTCTGTTATATATGACCTTTACGCAATGCCATTCTGAAGACCTACACAATCTCTGTCAGCAGTTTCCTGGCTTCGCCGTGAACATCTTCTTCCAATGCTGTCGCCATGTTCCCCCCCCCCCCCCCCTTTTCTACGTTTAATTGGCTTGAAGCTGACTGACAATAAGAAGCGCAACAACTGACGCCAAATTGTATTCAAGCCTTAATTAAAGTCAAGGGGCCAAGGTAACAACCCACTGCCCTGCAGGCCGGGCAGTACCGGGTTCCAGTATTCATGGATGCTGTGATTGTTCTCCGACATGTGGCTCTGGGGTATACCCGGCATTATTAACTATTAGACGAAGTAAAGGACCCCCTTTCCCGCGCCTTCAGTCGTACTGCTCACATAGTTTCTAGACTTGTACAACTATATACATTGATTGGTAATCGGCGGGTGATGTGCCCAACATCGCACCAGCTGCTTTTACTTCCCAGAACTTTACCTAGTACCCATTTAAGGCTGGGTCGACCTGGAAGGATGGGTATTTTTTTAAAGACAAAAACAAAGTCCAGCTACGTTTGGATTTGAACCCACGACCCACAGATCCGCAGGCGAGCATTTAGCCGCTATACCAGAGTGAATCCCATGAACTGCTTTAGTCCCAGGATATTTCACTAATGATGTCCTAAAGTGCAGACTAAACACGAAGGGGAAACATACATAAATCTCACTTCCGTGGAAGCACTATTTAACTGGCTGCACATTCGAAGACGAGTGCCTGAAAAACCCAAAGGTCTCGAGTTCAAATCCGCAAACCAGACCTAGGGCTCCCAGGTCAACCCTGCCTAAAAAAAAATGTACCAGTAAATATTGCGAGGAAGTAAAGGCGGTCGCTTCGTTGCTGATCATAACCCACATTGCATGCCGATTGGTCTATAAAAATATCGCCCCAGTACAATCAAATAATAAACTAGAAACATTCACTAACAAGTGTCTGCACAGAGTAGACGGGGTTAAATTGTTTAAAACAATCACTAATGTAGAGTTTTTGGAGAGAACAAGTTCTAGTGGACCAAGAAGTTAACAAAAGACGCAGGACACACGTTGAGGAAACAGGAAAACAATATAACTAGAATGTCTTTGCACTGGAACACACAGCGTCATAGAAAAAAGCAGCCCCCCCCCCCCCCCTAAAAACGGAGAAGGGAGCTACAGAGTAAAGTTAAAGGATGGGGAGGACATGGGGTGATGAGCTGTAGACAACAGCGAAAGATAGAACGACCTCGCGTCAGTTGGTTCAGTGCCTGTGTTCCAATGGGGGATAGAAATTACAAGAAGTACAATATGGTCAATGATGCTGTCTATGTCCGATGTCTACTGGCCAAAAATAGATGTGATTTATATCGGAGACACGCCAGTTGAGTGACTGTGTGTACTATTGTTCATATTTATAATATTGCAGATTTTTGTTATGTGCTGATGAAGGTTTTCTAGCCGCAACGTTTATTTATAGTTTTTGTTGTGTGAAGCTAACTAGCCCTATTTTTTGTTTGGTCTATCTTTACAATCATACGCTTAATGCGCCAGTGGCGTAAAATGGTCCTTTACTTACTTTTATATGCATACACCAAGCCAGCCAGACGTCTAGAGTATGTTCAGACCAAACGCATAATTTACAACAACACGCCACGTGTTGTGTACTGCCATGGATAATAGCAGATCATAGGCGACAAGGTTTGTAGCAGCAAATGTTCTGTCGGGGACCATAGCTATAGCGTCTTTATAAATTCGTGCTGTTGGAGTATCAATAATTTCATGGTATTTACTTATCCTGGGAACGGA